ACAAATGTTCATGTGATTGTTTTTTTGGTCACAATTCAGCAGTTTTGGAATGAATTTTGCTGCCACTCGTTTCATGCCCAAAACATTTGAAAAAATGTTATGACATGAGTCAATTGATGTGCCAACTTCATCAGCAACTTCTCTAATTGTGATTCGGCGATCATTCATAACCATTTTTTCCACGTTTTTCACATTTTCATCGATTATTGACGTGCAGGGTCGACCGAAGCGTTCGTCATCTTCAACGTCTTCGCGGCCATCTTGGAAACGCTTATACCACTCGTAAACTCTTGTTTTTTTCATATCAGACTCACCATAGGCTATTTGTAACAGTTCACACACTTTGTTACACTTTATTTCATTTTTTACGCAAAATTTAATACAAATTCTTTGACTCTTCAATTCTTCCATTGTTTAAACAAGCAAAAATCGCCGAGCTCATAAAAACACGTCGAACCTTAGCGACTACCACAGACAAAGTAAACAGTGAATGTAGCTGAAAATTTTATCATACTTTAGGGGCATGTATACCAACACAATAAAAAAAATTGACAATCGGGCTCTCCAGACCCGCAAAATTTAAAAATTCCGGGTACTTTTTGAACACGCCTCGTATGTCCTAAAAAAGTTGTTTCCCTCCGTAGAAACTCCGATTTGTCTAGTTGAATTTTGAAATTATGATTTCTTATCTGGTTAAAGACGTTAATTAATCGTTTATTATGTTCTTCTAAACTTGAACCAAAAATAATAATATCGTCGATATAAACTCAACATTTTATGGGGTAAGCCCTTGTAAGGCTAGGTTCATTGCTCTCTGAAACTGTGATGGAGCGTTTTTCAATCCAAAAGGCATTGTTTTAAATGCATAATGTTTACCATTCGCGGAGAAAGCGGTTTATAAGATTGATTCGGGGGACATTTTGATCTGGTGAAAACCAAATATTAGATCAAGAGCAGTAAAATATTGAGATTTGCCTAAATTGTCTAATATTTCGTCTATGTTTGGTAGCGGGTATTTGTCTTCAATTGTCTTTTTACTTAGTTCGCGGTAATCAATTACCATGCGCCATTTTTGTTGTCCTAGTGCGTCTTTCTTTGTAGGAACAATCCAGAGGGGAGAGTTCCAAGGGGAAGAGGAAGGTTGGATGATATTATCGTCAAGAAGTTTCTTTATCTGTTTTTCTACTTCGTCTTTATGTATCTGAGGGTATCTTCGGTAGGGGTCTCGTCAGTCGTGATGATTTTGTGGTGGTTAATTTGTCTCCTAGTAAATGAAAGATATAAAATTATAGGAATCAAAGAGTCTTTTTCTTCTTGATTTAGGTCGTCAATGCGTAATTGTTTTGTCAATTCTATTTTTCGTCATTGAGTATCTTGTTTACTTAAATTTAAATTATGTACAGTGGCTTTGCTGGGAATTGGTGAAAGTTCTGATGTGGCTATCTCGAAAGTGATGTCTTTATTTGATGTATTAATTGCTGTTGTCTTAAATTTGGAATCTATCTGTTTTGATCAGACAGGATGGCAAACTTATGCCCTCAAATGTTATTACTTTCATTAAATATTCCTTGTTTGCACTGTAATCTGTAACATTTACCTGAATTATTTGTTCGCAAGGTTTTGGAATAGTTATCATCTTCAATATTTTCCTTTCAGTGAAATACAAAGGAAATTCTTTATCGTTTACGATTAATTTATTTTGTTTGAAATCAATTAGAGTTTTATTCTTAGAAAAGAAATCCAAACCTATGATACCGTCGATTTCTAAATTATGTTTATCAATATAATGAAAGGTAATTTTTATTTTAGGATCTTCTAGACAAGTTTTTAAAGTACCTAATGTTTGAAACGTTGGAGAATTTAACCCATTTATTGTATGTGTCTGGCTCCGGTAAGAATCGAGAATACCTTAAAACAGAAATACAGGCTCCAGAGTCCTCCAAAAGCTTACAATCTTTCCCGTGAATATTAACTCTAATAAAAGGTGGTCGTCGGTAACCCTCTAATTTATTAATTGATTGAGAAGGGCTTTCTAATATTCGGAGTCCGTGCCTTCTGATTCGTCCTCCCGATATAGGTTTAAATTCATTTCTTTACTAATTTCCTATTCGTGTTCCGAGTCTGAATTTTGCAAATCAGCTACATTTATTTTTTTTCTATCTTCATGTTCACGTTTGTATTTGAAACATGATTCTTTAACGTGTCCGCTCTTTTTACAATATGAACAATTCTTATCATAACTTTCGGNGTTTATATTTAAAACGTGATTATTTAACATATCCGCTCTTTTTACAATATGAACATTTCTTATCGTAACTTTCGGTCATACTATAATTACCCTGATATAGGTTTAAATTCATTTCTTTACTAATTTCCTATTCGTGTTCCGAGTCTGAATTTTGCAAATCAGCTATATTTATTTTTTTCCTATCTTCATGTTCACGTTTATATTTAAAACGTGATTATTTAACATATCCGCTCTTTTTACAATATGAACATTTCTTATCGTAACTTTCGGTCATACTATAATTACCCTGATTACTACTTTTATTTTCGTATCTTTCGAATCTACGTGATTTGCTATTACTAGGTTTACTATAAGAAAACTTAGAAGAATCCCTAACCTTTTCTTGTGCCCTGAAATTGCATACCTATTCAAATTGAATGCAATGATCGAAGGCATCTTCAATGTCAGTTACTCATTTTGTAGAGCTAAATTTGATATTTCAGGTTGCAATTTACGGACAAAGCAGCTCACTGCCATTTGACGAAAGATTTGCGCAACAACTTCTTTTGTTTCACCTTTTAATTGCATAGCATTAATTACTGAAGAAATAACTGCATCTCTCAACGGGACTATTTTTTGATATAATTCTTTAACAAACTTATGTTGGTTTCCATTTATGGAAAACATTTCCCAGATCACATGATCATAGGATCTTTCCTGAACATAAAGTGAATCAAACACAAATAAAATATCTTCTACATTACGTAAGGAACTATTTACTACTGCTTTTAATGCATGACCCTCTAATTTCGAAAATATTAAAGTATCCAGAATAGATTTTTGATCCGCTGAGCACTTACTATAAATATTTGTAACCGTTCGTTTGAATAAGGGATATTTTACAGAATTATACCCACCATGAAACTTAGGGATTGCATCAATCATTAATTTGAAAACAGCGTTATCTAACACGCTTAGAGTCGTTGGTACGGGAACATCACCCGTTGCCATTATTAACTTTCCCAACGATTTCTCCTCAGATATTTCTGATTCTGAGGTTTCCTCAGGTTCCTTTTTTAGAACTGTCTTTAGGAACTCAATATTGGAAAGGTTTCTATAGGAGTCAATGACAATAGAGAAATAAAAATTCCTACCTTATTTCTTAGGAAGTCTCAATCTTTGGCTCCACGAGTTGAATATTTTCTTAAATAGCCAAGGAACCTGCGACGTGGCGGAGTTCTTGACGGTGGTATCCATGTAGTTACAGTTGACTTACGGATTCTCCAGCTGATGACCAACTGTTCTTGGATTTCCCGGATTTTGGAAATCCTACTGACTCCGCCAATGTTATTGTAGCGACCACAAGCGTAATTGTGTGCGATCGGGCATACGTGTGTGTGAGAGGCTTATCGATTCGCCGACTAGCCGCGGACACTTTTCTTCATGTGCGCCGTATCTGTAAACGTGTGTGTCGTACCTGCGTTCCGGGAAAGCAATTAAACCGTTCAAAGAAAACGAGACTTCTCTGGAGGGAGTATAAAAAGGAAGAGATGATCGCCGAAGTAGAGTTGATATAAATTGACCGTTGCAGAAGTGAATCAAGAGATAAATTGACAGTGATAGAAGTGAAATAAATAGAACAGTGTGTAACCCTCCTTGCACATTACACGTTTTTGCCCGTGCGGGAATAAATCGTACGGGCAAATATTTTTAGTCTCCCATGAAGAGTATGGAGGTCTTTCACATTATACGGTTACGGCAAGGACACGATTTTTGATCGCGTTGCAGGCGTCCAGTGCCACTACAGATGAACGGTAGCCGTATCGTATCTTCGCTTAGTGGACTACGTGGCCAAATGCACCCTTTCATACTAGACGGTTTCAATCGTGCGGGAACCTGTCTACTATTACCATTTAATTCGCGTTGTTTACAGTTTACAGTTGTTTTTTTTGCGGTTTAATATACGTTCAAAAAACAGCTTTTCAATAATTTCCAGCAGACAGACGGACAGACCGTCAAACTGACTGACGGTTTTGGGAAAACAAATATGTATTTCGTGGTTTAGAGATTCTACAACGTGAAAATAAGCAATGATCTCGGAGGATGATTCTTTTTAAGATTACAATACCTCCCTCTGCAAGGGAAGTAAAATCAGTCGATGTTAAAGACACTTATTACCTTAAAGTTATAGCTAGCATTTCAATAAGTTATATACAATTTCTAAATTGTGTGTTTTGCCGTTGAAGGACATTACGAAAGTAGTTGAAAAACTTCCGTTCATCATTTCTCAGGTCTTCAAACAAGGTATAGAATAACCCCATTTCCTCACGTTTCTGATTAATAAGATGCACCCAATGAAGGCGCTCACGCCTTTGTCTTTTTAGATACAATAACCGAGCTATAATTTGCCCCCGATTCATAGTCACTGTACAATACTTTCCTCAGAAATGGTGACAACGAGCATATGTATCTGAATAATGTTTTTGTACGGTTACANCTTTTCTTCATGTGCGCCGTATCTGTAAACGTGTGTGTCGTACCTGCGTTCCGGGAAAGCAATTAAACCGTTCAAAGAAAACGAGACTTCTCTGGAGGGAGTATAAAAAGGAAGAGATGATCGCCGAAGTAGAGTTGATATAAATTGACCGTTGCAGAAGTGAATCAAGAGATAAATTGACAGTGATAGAAGTGAAATAAATAGAACAGTGTGTAACCCTCCTTGCACATTACACGTTTTTGCCCGTGCGGGAATAAATCGTACGGGCAAATATTTTTAGTCTCCCATGAAGAGTATGGAGGTCTTTCACATTATACGGTTACGGCACGGACACGATTTTTGATCGCGTTGCAGCCGTCCAGTGCCACTACAGATGAACGGTAGCCGTATCGTATCTTCGCTTAGTGGACTACGTGGCCAAATGCACCCTTTCATACTAGACGGTTTCAATCGTGCGGGAACCTGTCTACTACTACCATTTTATTCGCGTTGTTTGCTGTTGTGTTTTCTTGTGCGGGTTTTCTGTGATTATGGATGTAATGGACGCTGAAGTTTTAATTTCTCTTATTGAAGCAAAGCCTGTGTTATGGGACAAAACTTTAGATATATATAAAGATCGAATCTTAACAAAAAATGCCTGGAAGGAAGTATGTTTGGCAGTGAAACCAGATTTTGAGAGCATTAGTGATGCAGAGAAAAATACATTTGGTAAGTACTTTTTAATAAATGTAATATTTTAACCTTACATACATATTAGGCCTATAACATTACTGTACTTCTACTTCTACTTCAACTCCATTTTAACTCTTAAAAGCAGCTTTAACCTCCGAGAGCAATTTTTAACCACCTACAAAAGTCACAAAGATTGACATTTCCCTTTTTGAACATTAAATTTTTGACATTTGCCACGGTACACTTCCAAGGTTTGACATGAAATATTTGCAAAGAACACTTCTGATATTGTTTGCTGCCAAGCCTCCTCTAATAGTAGTTTCCCCAGCCAAATCATCTAGACCTGTGATCGTTGTTGTGTCCTCAACAATATATCCGTCTCTATCACGTACATAGTTGTGCAATACAATGCATGCGTTGACAATGAGTACGGCAAAATCTGTTTGCACATTGATAGGACGATGAAGCACTCGCCATTTATTACTAAGAATGCCAAAAGCACATTCTACATATCTTCGAGCTCTGCACAATCGATAGTTAAACACTCTTTTCTCAATTGTAAGGTGTTTGCCTCCAAACGGTCTCAATAAGTGCTTGTGTAGACCAAACGCTTCGTCGGCAACAAAAAAGTAGGGTATTTTAGGACTCTCTGTTCCTGCAAGAAGTCTTTCTTCAGGCAATTGTTGAGTATTGTTTTCAATTGACTTCCACAAGTTTGACCTCTTAAAAATTGAAGAGTCACACTCTTTGCCATAGCTTCCTACATCAACATAGACAAATTTGTACTTGGAGTCGACTACAGCCATTAATACAATGGAGAAATAATCTTTGTAATTAAAATACATAGATCCTGAGTTAAATGGACAAGTAAGTCGGATATGCTTTCCATCAACAGCGCCGAGACAGTGTGGGAAATTAGCAGTAGTTTCAAAATCGGAAGCGATTGATTCCCACCTGTCACAAGTTGGTGTTGGAATACATTCTACTCGCATTATTGACCAAATCTCTTTACAGACTTCCTGAACAATTTTCCTTGCAGTTGAAATTCCAACCCTGTACTGGTAGTGTAAATCAGTAAATGTACAACCGCTAGCCAAATATCTAAAAGAAAAAAATATTTGTAATATTAATTACTCTTTCTGTATCTTCATAGGTAAGGAAGTAATCCGAAGATGGACCAACCTCCGAGATTGTTATGCAAAATCGAAGAGAGACGCCAAAACCGTAAAAAAAAGTGGATCAGATGCAAAAATCCGCAAAAAGTATGTGTATTCAGATCAACTGCAGTTTTTAAATAAGATATACGATGATCATAATACAGTTGACAGCATGATGTCTGAAATTGAAGAAGGGTCGGAGAATACGCTTGTAGATGATGACGAGCCTTCACGTACCGCTGAAGATGCCCTTCTTCCCAGTACTTCTACTATAAACGTGCCTTCAAATCAGATGAGGACCAGAAAACATAGGAAAGTAGATGAAGTTGAATTAAAACTCCTCAAAGCTTTGGAACCAGTAACACCTTGCAGTAAAATGTCTTTTCTGCAAAGTTTAATGCCACACTTGAAGCATTATACAGATGGAGAATTTCTTCATTTTCAAATGGGAGTGCTAAACGTTATAGAAAATATAAATAAAAGCAAGGAAGCGACACCTCAACCCCAAACGAACTACTCATTTCACGTGCCCTCTTATTACTCAGCCTTTCCGCATCTATCTCAACCTCCTCCGGAACATCAATCATTTGTACCTGCTAAACAACCTTCATATCCCCCTCAACAATATCCACCTCATATTTCAAATGTTTCTGAGCATCGTCACACTTCACCTCCTCATCATTCAAATCGACTTAAAAATTCAGCAACGCCAGTGTACAATGCAATACCACGCACTAATCGTACACAATCAACAACAGAATCACAGACAACATTGCAACCCCTTTCGAGTTTTTGCTACAGTGACTGTTCAACTGAATATCTGGCGAGTCCAACTACACCTTCAGGCGAATCCACCTGTTCAGATCAAATCGATTTTGTTTAATTATCTCCTTTATGTATAACAAGTTAGGTCTATATTTTTAATTTTGTCAAAAATCGTAAATTTAAATAAAAATTGATATTAAATCAATATGCTTAACATTTATGATTGACGGATGATTTATTAGTTGCCCTTGAATTTACATTCAAAAAATAGCTTTTCAGTTACAGTGCATAATTAACATGCATCAAACTGGCCTACGGAATTGGGAAAACAAATATGTATTTCGTGGTTCAGGGATTCTACAACGTAAAACTAAGCAATAATCTCGGAGGATGATTTTTTTTAAGATTACAATACCTCCCTCTACAAGGGAAGTAAAAACAGTCGGTGTTAAAGACACTTATTACCTTAAAGTTATAGCTAGCATTTCAATAGGTTGTATACAATTTCTAAATTGTGTGTTTTGCCGTTGAAGGACGTTCTGCAGTTTGCCATGCAGTTCGTCGAAGGAGCCAGCTGACATACGAAAGTAGTTGAAAAACTTCCGTTCATCATTTCTCAAGTCTTCAAACAAGGTGTAGAATAATCCCACTTCCTCACGTTTCTGATTAATAGGATGAACCCAATGAAGGCGCTTACGCCTTTGTCTTTTTCGACGCCGATGCAATAACCAAGCTATAATTTGCCCCCGATTCATAGTCACTCTACTATATTTTCTTCAAAAATGGTGACAACTAGCGTACTGAATACTGTTTTTGTACGGTTACAAATCGTGCGGTACCTACGTTTAAAATCGTACAGTGAGAAAGTAACTACACCACGATACAAACTCGTACGACTTTTGATCGTGCGGGCGAAAACGTGTAATGTGCAACGAGGCTAA